TTTATAATATTTTTTAAACTTTAATTTGTTTAATAAATTGTTATTGTTAATTTAAATACTTGGATTTCTGACTGCTTAAATCCCCAGTTATTGGCTCCACAAAATAACGCTGGAGAACCTACCTCAAATAAATTTATTCTTTTTGTGGCGCAACCCGCTCGAACCGTAAAAGAATTCAACTTTTATGAAAAGAGTCTTAAACACCCGCCACAAGACAGAATTTCGCTCTTTTCATGCAGGGTTTAGCCATTGCAGCTATACTCTGTTTGCAGCCTTCGGTCTTTACCCACCTAGTAGTATGACTGAAGAATGTCTTGTTTTATCATGGCACGAGGGGTGATCGTGGATAGCGCAGTTGGACTCTCTGTGGCTTCTCGTTTCCAGGATTTTCATTATGTTCTTTTACCCACGCGCGTTCAACAACATTTTCTTCTAACAGCAAATGACACCGCCAGATTAACCCGGAGGAGATTCTACATTTCTCCAGTGAACATAGCGTAGCTCTGCTGTCGGTGAGAAAGCATATGCGACTATTTGTTATATTAACTGAACGCCTAGGACCACTCCACTCCTATAATCTCTTATTGCAGAGACTTGGTGAGCTTCTCTAGGGCAAATGCTCTTCGGATTTCAAGGTGTTGAGAGTATATTCCACCCATGAACCGCTATTATTTTTTTAACCATCCGTCTAGATACAAAAGTTCGGTTTTGTTGTCTGCTCTTCAGAAGTGAGCATGATGCTGTTGGCTTTTTCGAAAACGTATTTCGTGGGTGCACAATTTGCAGCCAGATTTAAGAGAGGTATTCCTTCGGACGCCTCTGTCCAAATGTGGGCGTGTCGCAGCCTTCTCTACGAACAAGTCAAGCGGAGAGATGCAAAGGGCTACCTCTATTGCAGCCGTAGAAGTCGATCTCATAGCGCCCGTTATTGCGAAACAAATAAATCTCTGTCTGATGCCTTTCATACGCTTCATCTCGTTTTTCTGTCTGACCCGAGGCTTTGGGGACTCATGGATGTTAAAAACACAAGTATATGAGTGGTACAAAACATTTCAATTAGACCGGAAAAAGGTTACTGACTTTCCTCGTTCTGGACAATCGTCAACTGCAAAGACGGTAGAAAATGTAAAGAAAATCATTGTAAATCATCACTTTGGTTTACGAGTAATATTATTTAGCTGTTGCGAAATGTTTGTAAGGAATATTGGCTGGAAAAGGCTAGAAAATACGCTTATTTGATAAATTTATGTTGGTGTTTTTTACTTTTTTTGTACCTGTTATCTCCTAAAGCCACGACGACCCAAACTTCATACTTGCCCATCTACCTATGTTGGAAGTATGCGCTGACAAATTTTCAACTTCTGTAAAATGACGAAGGTCTGGCGACCGCGGGCTCTTGCTTTAAAAGATTGTAACTATCTACTTTATATTTAATTTAAAAATTTCGTACTCAAAATACAATCACATTTTTTATCCTACTTTAATTTATACAAATTATTATTTTCTGGAAGCAAATGATTAAAAAAAACATACTTTATATCCACCCTATACGTACTAAAGGAGTGAAAGCAATTTATAGATACAGGCAAAATTTGTATAACTGCACATACAAGATGCGCCAGAACTCGCGCCCCAGAGAAAAATGTTTAAAAAATTATCTATAAAAATTTCGAAGTTATGAGAGTTTAAAGTTTGCACTTTGACTCTATTTATTTCTGTTTGAAAAATAATTTTCCAAGTTTATTTGCTATAGGCTATTAGAAGAGGAAACAAGGAAGCTGTATTCTAAATTGTAACTCTGCTCAATGTTATTTGAAGCTTTTATTGGCAAAATTTTTGTACCTTTACTAAATAATTGTAAAAAAAACATATAAAAATCATCAGTATCATCAAATAGACATAAAAAAATGTCAAATATCAAAAAATAATTGTCAAATTTTTTTGACAGATAGAATTTTTTAAACATTTTTTTCATGTTCCTGGTATCTTACCTTACTTGAGAATTTTCTCTAGGGCGCGAGTTCTGGTGCACCTGTATATAGACGCGGAGTATGAAGGCGAGGCTATAAAATTGTTTTTTCGGTGGTTTATATATTTTTTTACTACTAACACGTTTGTGTAACTTTTCTTCAATGTTTATGAAAAAAAGTATAACGAAAAGTGGAAGGTAATTAGTTAATTCATGACCGCGATTTTACTAGAGTGTTGTCCAGAAGCCAAATTAACATTCTGCAAGAATCCCAGTTCCAAAGTTCAGTTCTCCATTTTGAAGCTATTAAATAATATCAAATAAATTAACTAAATACGACTGTCTACATTAAGTATGTATATAAGAATAATTGTCAATTGCTTTTAGTATCTACTAGTAGTAGGCATGCTGTTTCCTACATCACTTTTCGAATCACAAGATTATTTTGAAGCCAACAAAGAACAATGTTGCAATAATGATTATAATATTTATTGATATTTGTTACTGAAAAAAAAACAATATTCAAAATAAAGCTCCTAAGTAGAATAAGGTTTTCATAATATTCATTCTTCTGCTGCTTGTTTTAACGGTTTTAGTACAAAAGATATGTGGTTTAGCACTCGCGCCCTAGAGAAAAATGCCAAGTAAACATAAAAGCTATATCCTAAATTGTAACTATGTTTATAGTTATTTACGTATTAAGGGCTGTTAAGAAGGCCATAACAACCGAGAGAGTTGTTAATTTTCCCGCGATTGTTATGATCGTTAACAGCACGTGATAAAAAAATATATATTTTTTGAAAATGTCAATTTTTGAAAGTTTGAACCGTTGAAGCTGTCAAAAAACCGGGTTATAAAAACCTCTTAACACCCTGTATGATACTAGAATAATATTGCCAGCTTAACAATTGTAATTTGTTGAATATTATTCATACCATAACACTACGGAACGACGAAAACGTTATATTTGTGGCTTTTATTAGCAATTTTTTTGTACTTTTACTGAATATTTATGAAAAACATATACAAGATTATCAGAAATATAAAAACGTTAAATGAATGTTACATTTTTTTTTTCACCGTTAGAATATTTTAAACATTTTTTCTTTGTTATTGGTGCCGTGGAATCAAAAAGTCTTTCTATCAAATAGTAGTTATACTAGTTGAGGACGTATGTCACAGGCAGTTCGTATGTTAGCTGGATGTCAAAAAATTATTATATACATTGAAATTATTGAATTAAGCAAATTGAATTATTCTATAAAACGTCTTAAAACATCCTAAAATAAGATGTTGTTGGTGTTTATTCACACAATAAATTGTTTTTCCGTGAACATACGTTCTAAACACTGTATCTTATCTTACTTGACATTTTTCTCTTGAGCGCAAGTTATAAACCATTCTGTACAAATGTCATGGCTGTGAAAGAATTTCTATAACGGCTCTTAATGTAACTGTTTTCAGTAACAACTCTTTGTTTTATTAGCAAAAAATATTTTTATACAATATAACGACGTACTTAGCTAACAATAATAAATTAACAACTTTTAGGACTACTACCGAGACAATTTATTGCTACTTGGATTATGAATTTCAACCAAATTGATTTCGTCTTGTTTCATATCCTTATCACCCCATCCCCATACAGTGTCATCGTGGTGGTGTTGTTGGTTATCTACATTTTTATCAACCAGACCGGTCCCATCGCCAGTTCTTTTCTTTCTTTTATTAATCATGTCAACCGACACTGTTTTTAAATCGTAAGCTTGTCCAATTTTTGACATCAAATCAAGAAAAGCTGTAGTAAAATTCATCCTATAATTCCCTAATTCAGCAGCTTTGTAATCCCAAGGAAAGACGTGGTGGTAATTGTGCCATCCTTCACCGAACGCGATGATAGCGACACTTATGTTGTCTGTGGCATTTATATTTCTAAAAATTTAAATAAATTACAATTAAAAAATAAATATTTAGATGGTTTACTTGTCGAATGGTTTGTAGCCCCAAATATGAGCTGCACTGTTTACCAACCAAGCACCATGAAGGTTTAAAATGTATCTTAAGATGGCTAAAGAATAATAGCAAACAGTGAGATTTTCATTCCAGAAGTACCATGGAACGAAAGCAGGAAAAACAAAAGTAAGAATTGGTGCCAAAATTAAATAATATCTAAAATCATGTATGTCATGAATGATTTTTCCTAAAACAATTAATACTTTTTTTGAAATTGGACCACAGGATCAGCTGCCACATCACTCAAATCAATAGTTTTGCCTTTAATAAAAACATCCTTGTGTTTTTTGACCATCAACCAACCCATGTGTGAGAAAAAGAATCCTTGGTTGGAATTGTGAGGATCAGCATCTGTGTCTGTGAATTTGTGATGGACTCGATGGTCTCGCACCCACTCGTAGATGTGGTTTTGCAAAGCGACAGTTTGCCAAAAGGCTAAATAAATTCGAAGTGGAAGCTTTGCTTTATATGAACGATGGGCCCATAACCTGTGTGCTCCTCCAGTTACTCCAATACTCGCAAATAAGATAACAACGTAACCTGAAATATTTTTTAAACATTTATTTTTACAAATTGATAAACTCACCCCAAATTATACTTTTCCATTGAGCTAAAGTAATCATGTAATATAAACCATAAACTGCTGCATAATGCAGATAAGCAAATATTAAGACATTCCTCCAAACTATTTGCCATCTACGTTGAGGTAGATTCGACGAATGAGTTTCTACATTGTGTTGTACATTTGGTTTTTCGATAATTTGCACAGGTTCACCCAAATACTCCGATTTGCTAAGTAAATTGCGAGTCATTTCTTAAAATAATTCTAAAAGGAAAAAGTGAAACAATTATTTTGAATAAACTCATTAGTGTGCGACACAGTAAAAATGTGTGCCACTTGATAATCTCACTTCCTATAGATGAATGGTACTTGTTGCACCTTCTTTTTCGCGTCAAATCAATCGAGGTCACGAGATAAACTGATAGATACAAAGAAAGTGTCTTCCTTTAAGTTAGTTCCATTTTTATTATTACACTTAAATACATACTATTTTGCGACTGCAACGGTACAAAAAAGTGCTAATTTTTTTTCTCTCATAACGACGAATTTTATTTTAACCAACTTATTAAGATAGAAAACATTTACAAACCACTTGACGATAATTATTGAAATACATGCTGACAAAGAAGTAAAAAAAATAATTAGAAAATGTAGACCTTCAATTTTATCTATTGATGATAGAAATACAAGATACTTACTGTTGATAAAAAACTTTAAAAAAATAACATTTTTAAAATTTGATATTTTGTTTTTTATTATGGATACAGGGTGATCCAAGAGGTGCGGGCAAGCTCCATAACTTTTTTCTATCCAAACTATCGACTTTTTTGTTTTAAACAAAAGGTTCTATAATGAAGCACTTTTTTTTTATTTAATACAATATGTCGCAAAATAAGATACACAACTAAGTTCAGTGTTTTTTTAAAATAAAAACCCACATTTTTGTTACATTTTTGAATTCGCCATAAAAATGCTATGCAACGATGCAATAAAACATATGGTGTTGTATTTAAGAAAGTCGAGTTATTGTCATTTGTATTTATCATTTAAAAAAAATCGTAGTAGGCGATGGAACATTGACTTCAAGTTTGTCTTTATCTCAGAAAATGTGCTAAAGCTTAAAGAATCGACTGGAAAAAAGTTGGTTACGTTATCTAGAATGGTTCTGAAGTTATGAATTTTTTTGTGGGTCTATGCACGACGCTATTTTGAAACATAAATTGACAAAAGTGAGAAACTATTGCAGATAATTTTAAGAAACAGGATGCGTTGTATTGACAATTTAGTGGTAAATCAAAAAATATAACAAAAATTGGGGGTTTTCATTTTAAAAGACAGAACTTAGTTGTGTATCTTATTTTGGGACACCTGTCTTAAATAAAAATGTTTTTGAAATGTGCTTTATTATCGAACCTACCGTTAAAAAAAATCAAGTCGATATCTTGGATAGAAAAAAAGTTATAGAGCACCTCTAGGATCACCCTGTATCCATAATAAAAAACAAAAAATCAAATTTCAAAAATGATTTTTTTTTAAAGTGTTTTAATCAACAGTAAGTATCTTGTATTTCTTTCAATAGATAAAATTGAAGGTCTACATTTTCTACTTATTTTTTAAATAAATACCTATAAAATGAGCATGAAATATAGGTATATTAACGTTATACATACTTAAAAACACTTTTTTTCAAAAAAAATGTCGACAGTAGAATTCAATGAGAGATTTTTAATTTATTTTGTCCATTTGTGAATAAAGTAAAAACTAATTTATTTATTTGTGAGGTTAAAAAATAGTCAATAGACAACAAACATTCTATTAATCTAGTATGAGTCAGTACTTAAGAAAAACAACTACACAATTTAGTTATTTTCAACATAAAAATGCTATACAGCGTAAACCTAAAGTTACGCACTAAAAGTAAGTCATATTTTTATTATGGGTGTTTTTTTTAAATCTTTAAATGACTTAATTTTATTTTTGTAAATGCAACATTTTTGACTTCATTAGTTTTTGAGTAATGATGTCGTTATTAAGTTCTTTAGATATAGACTGAGATTTTGGTTTACTTCTTTCAGCAGGTGATTACTTTATCTTTTTAACGATTATAAAATAATTGGTATTAGATAAACCATTTTTCGAAAAATTACATTTTATGTAAAAATTGCTGAGCTTAATGCTTCGGAAATACTAGCATTTTTACAATCAATTTTATCGATTTTGATAAAACATGGCGCTTTTTTTAATAATTAACATTAAAACATAATCTTAATAAAAAAAAACATTCATCTTTTATAAATATTAACAGATGCTTATTGTTACTAAAATAAAACGATAAAAATTAAATCAAAAAAGCAAATCATCGTTGATCTAAATTTGAAAAACCTGTTATAAGCAAATATTCTGTCAATCTATCTTTCAAGATAAAATATTGCTTACATCAAAAACTTAACCCAAAATATAACCTTTGAAGAGCTATATCTCGTGAAAAAAGGTTTAAACGAATATTTGTCAAAAATTAAAATGCACAACCATTTTTATTTAAAACAGAAAAAAAACGAGATAATTTTCTACAAAGAATTTACATTTTAAAAGAAATCCGATGAAAAATTAACAAATTGAATAATTAAATAAATAAATACATAAATTCCAAATAATGCATGACTTACCGTATATAAAAATTATAATTAATTAATCAAATAGTTTTTCACAGCTTTCAAAAGCACACATACTTTGCTTCCAACAACTTTACAACATTGAACTTGAATCTACAAATGCTACTCGCTATTTGTACCTTCTTTTTTGCTTTAGGTAAAAGGTGTGTTCAATAATTTGTTTTGTCTTCCTTGTCCAACATCTTGCAAAATCAATAGATAATCTAAGCCATCAGAGCGAGATGGTACCTGCTTTACAATCAAAAAATTTCTCCCATATCTAAAGTCGGAATGTGTGTCATTACCGTTCTTCCACTTTCCCAAAGTGTTACTGCTGTAGTTGATGCAAAGTTGTGATAAATTAAAGCTGCATAAACAATCTTTCTCTTTTGACTTTTTCATGTTAAGTATTATTTATTATTAATTTTAAATAGTTGTTCTCTAAATTAAATACTTTGTTAAATACAATAAAGTTTGCTTTTTTACTTTATGCGTCTGGATCAATTAATAATTCAAAAGACGTACTAAATTGCTATCTCTTTTCAACATAAACAGCTTTCTTGCTCTCTCGCTACGTAGGTCGGTCATGCTATTTATCTCACTTTAACAAATGCGACTAAAGTGACGTATGTACATCAAAAGTGTGACTTACCGACTTACCGTCACGTAGGTAAACAGCTAAATAAAAATGACAATAATTCAAAATAAAAATAAAAAATTAATAACTATATCAAAAACGTACTGCAACTGCAACATTATTGAATGTATTAGGAAATCGAAGCCAAAAATAAATTTCAACTAAAACTTTCAAGTTTTAGATCCGAACGTCAATCATAATGACACTAAAGTGTGGCTTACGTTGATATTTTTTGAACTGACATAACTTGATGTCCAAAATTTTGAGTCCACAAATGCATAAATTTGTAGTTTTTCCGATTATAAAAATTTTAATTGATGGAATTATATGTATGTCTTGTTACACCATACAAAAATTTAATTTCCATTGAAAATGGAACCTGTGAGCTTTCTAATTAGTAAATATGTACAACCTATCAGGTAGATAGAATAATTATGATTAGATTTTTTTTTAGATCCAAAAGTCAAAACAATATTTAGCTTTCTAAGAAATTTCTTGAGCAACTTCCACAAATTCAAGGCATAAAAATATTAGCAAACTGATCTTTTACTTTTATTTTATTTATTACCCTTACTAACCCAAACTCTGAACGCAGGTAAAGACCGAGTTTAGACCCTGTCTAGGGTGTATTGCTGGTTGCTTTTCAAAAAGAATATTAAGTGCTGAAAACCGACTTGCCCGTTCACTCCCGGACAGAGTTAATGGCCTTAAATCTCTCCGACAATAATTCTGAGTTTAATTCTTCAAAATGTATTACATTGTTATAAAAAAGTGGGTAAAATTTACGAAAAAGAGCTACAGAATTTTTTTTAAGAGACTATTAAATTTCGTTACCTCAAATGTTCTCGACTACATTTAGTTATTAGCAATGGAAACTTTAGAATGAAGTACTCAAAAGATGCAAATTATGTTTATATTGCATTCTTCTAATGAATTTCCATTCTCTACATTAGAATAATGTCGGTCTTTTCGTCATTGCAAAACATTTTAGTAAATTTTATCAAATTTACCAAGATTTTACTTTTATAAATAATTAAAGTTGAAATGTCGTTTGACCACTATGTTTAATTTATTAAAACCAAATATTTTAGTATCCTCGTTATTTTTGAAAGATAATGTTGGTTGCTTCAAAAATTATTAGGGTCATTATTTATAAGTAATTACTACTTGTAAGATGTTGAGTGAATTGTGTGTTGCCTATTATTTGGTACCAAACACACAGTTTTCCTCACTTCTTGCGATTTATTATTCATAGAATACAATTGTGTGTATGAATATTTTATGGTCAGTGCATTACAGTTTACAGATTCGTAATGCACTCTTGCAATTAGTGGTTTAATTAGTATTAAAAAATAATAATAAAAATATGTACCTTCTTATGTACATAAACAAATTTTGGTTAAAAAAAAATATTCGTATTTTCACGTTTGAAAATGAATTGTGAAGAAAGTCCGTCACTAAAATTAAATTACCGCGAAGACTTATTCCAGCACTCAAATGACGTCATTTGGGTGCTGGAATAGACTTATTCTAACACCGTAATAGAAAAAAAAATGCTTAAAGAATTCTATCTGTCAAAAAGTTTAGACATTTATTTTTTGATATTTAACATTTTTTATGTCTATTTAACGATACAAATGATCTTGTATAATTGTATATGTTTTTTTTACAATTATTTAGTAAAGGTACAAAAATTTTGCTAATAAAAGCCACAAATAACAGTGAACAGAGTTACAATTTAGGATACAGCTTCCTTGTTTCCTCTTCTAATAGCCTGTAGCAAAAAACTTCGAAAATTATTTTTCCAACAGAAGTAAATAGAGTCAAAATGCAAAATTTAAACTCTCATAACTTTGAAATTTTTATAGAATTTTTTTTAAACGTTTTTTCCATGTTCCTCGTATCTTACCTTTTATGGCATTTTTCTCTGGGGCGCAAATTCTGGCACACTCTATATGTGTCCAGTAATATTTTCATGATTATTTCTTGACTTTACTATCGTAAAAAAATAATACAGAGTGGTTATAAATGATTTTCAACTAGCCAGCTGTGGAATTTTTTTGCATATAACTTTATTTGTGCCGCTCTACTTTTTTGAAAGCTCTAGTTCTGTCATTAGTGTCACTTATTAATTAATAATAAATTGTTGTTAATTAAACTTTTATTGTTTCAACTAATTTCCAATAATAATTGATAATAATGTATACTTTGGAAGAAAACAAATTTATAAATAAAGTCTATTTTCGAAGTGGACGCTTAGTAAACGGTGATTTTTTAATTGTGAGTTAAAACAAGTAGGGACCCCTGTTTTCGTAAAGCTGCATTTTTTAGTTTACATAGAACATTCACAGCTGGCTAGATGAAAATCATTTATAATCACTTTGTAGCAAACTTAAAGTTTCAGTTTTTTTATGTTACTTTTAACAAATTAAAACAATTATACAAGGGGATTCTTTTAGTGCCTACATTAGAAACTTTTTAACTTCTAATGCAGATAGGAATTTGAAATTTTGTACGCAACCCAAATCGACCAGTCTAAGTTCAATTAAATTTTTTTTAAAATGACTGAACTTTCGGAACTACGAGAAATTGGCGCCAACTTTGAAATTTTAAATTGTAACTACTTATTTCTATTGCATTTTTGAATTCTCCTCTCCAAATTGAGTAAAATGTATTTAGTTGTTAGTACTTATCTATCATAGTTTTTGACATATGTCAACTTTTTGGTCAAAAGTTTCATTTGCAGAGGTTCATTTAAAACATCACAGCTCTTGAACCCTTTGCCATAAGTGATTTTTTTTGCATTCGATAACCAAAGGTTCAAAGAGTTTTCCAAAAATTTTCAAAATTGTCAACTGTCAAATTGCAAAGCTAATTTGAATTGGTGAAAATGGTAATTAACAGAAGGCTAAAACTCAGTTTTTTTTTGTTTTTTATTTATTTCACGTTGGCTTTGGAAAATTATCAATACGTATGAAAGATTTAGTCTACACAACACCAATCCGAAATTACGAAGAATTGAGGCAAGGATTGAGGCGGCATTTAATAATCTTCAACCAAATGAAATAATAGAAGCCACTCAAATCAGTTATCATCGAGTTTTGGACTGTTTGAAAATGGTAAACATATCGGACATCCGTATTAATTAAAGCATATTTTTATTGTATTTTTCCAAAGCCTACGTAATTAATTATAAAAATAAAAACAATAACATGTTTTTCGTGATTATTTCAAAAACTGTAAGTGATAGGTATAAGACATGCTGATAAAAGTCCTTCCATAAATTGATGTAGTTTTGATTGACGTTGAAAAAATAGTCATTTTATTTAAAAAAACTGAGTTATAGTTGTTTGAAGAAAGATCATTTTCAAAAAATCATACTAGCTTTGCAATTTAACAGTTGACAATTTTGAAAATTCTAGAAAACTTTTCGAACCTTTGGTTATCAAATGTAAAAAAAAATTATTCACTTATTGCAAAGAGTTCAAGAGCTGTGATGTTGCGAATGAATCCCTGCAAATGAAGAATTTGACCAAAAAATTGACATGTCAAAAAGTATGAAAGATAAGTACTAACAACTAAGTACATTTTACTCAGTTTGGAGAGGAGAATTTAAAAATGCAATAGAAATAAGTGGTTACCATTTAAAATTTCAAAGTTGGCTATAATTTCTCGTAGTTCCAGAAGTTCAGCCATTTTGGAAATAATTTAGTTGAACTCAGATTGGTCCATTTGGGTTGTGTACAAAATTTCAAATTTCTATTTGCATTAGAAGTTAAAAAGTTTCTAATGTAGGCCCTAAAAGAATCACCTTGTATAGTGGGAATTTTTTATTTACGTTCTTGCAGCAAGAATTATTTAAAAAGTACTTTGTTTTTATTGAAAACAAACGTATTTTGTGATTTTACATTTGAAATACAACATTGAAAGATTCTTTCTGATGTAAAATAACCTACCTACATCAAACACCACGTAACAGTTCTGCAAATTAGAAAATAATTTTTCAGAATTTTTCCGAGATTTTTGCTAATATTGTTGGTTTTTAAATTTTTTTACATTTGAAATACAACATTGAAAGGGTCTTTCTGATGTAAAATAACCTACCTACATCAAACACCACATAACAGTTCTGCAAATTAGAAAATAATTCTTCAGAATTTTTCTGATATTTTTGCTCATATTGGCGTTTTTTTTATTATATGCGTGTGGATCAATTACTAATTCGAACAACAAAATTTCTTTTCAACATTTGTGAACAGTCTCGTTGCTCTGTCGCTACTTACGTATTTGTCTAAGATCGGTCACGATATTTATCTCATTTTCACATTAATTTTAAAGTAATGCAGGGCTAGTGACGTACGTCACGTCAAACAAACCAAACGAATCAAAGGCACGTGTGAAATCATCGAAAAGTTCCATAATATGTTGCTTGTTGTTTAAGCCGTGATAATTGTTTATAACAATTGTTAATTGTTTATAAATTTTAAATT